GGCTCGAAAATCAGTAAATTCAGGAATAAGGTTGAACAAACGGAAAGGCAGTTATAAAAATGGAAGGTCGGTGATTTCCAGTATGAATTCAGCGCCTCCTTTCGGAGGGTCACACTCAGTACCCATGTGGGAAGACTGAGCGGTCCACACTTCGAACTTGGGTTTTCAATTACACTCAATTCCCAGGTAAAATGGCGATGGAACGGCAGGGTGGCAGAGTCCGTGAAAAGGTATTGTTTCAACAATGTTTGCAAGCGCACTTGAAGGAACGGACATTCATCGCTGCTGCACGTCGGCTGCATGTCTGCGGTGGGACAAAGGGTTTGGGGGTAGGTAGCATGAAGAACCATGGAATCAAACAAAGCAAATTAGACAGCGTGGTCAAAAGTTCAGGTTGCAGGTACGTCGAAAGAGCGTCCTCTTTCGATATCCTAGTCTGAACCTGGAGCTTCGTTGGCTCACGCCAGGAACAGACCCGTGAGCCCCCTGCTGGAAAACCGTTCGAGCGGTAGAAACCTTTGCGTCAGTGAAAGGAGTGAAACATGCCGTGTTTGTAGTGGAAATGCAAGAACGTGGAAAACCCTTAGAACCAGGGTGCGACACACACACACACACACTTAGCCGAATCGGCGCTCCCTTGACATGAAAAAGTTAACCTGACACCTAAAAAGCCTCTAGCGACGAACGAAAACCTGGAAAGAAACGAAAAAACCCAGAAAGAGAGAAAGCAAGACCGTGCATATCCGTGCATGATTTACTCAGTGTGAAACTTACAGTGAATACTTAGCAGCATGACATGAAAAAGACCTGAGTCACGCACAAAAAGCCTCTAGCAACGAGAGAAAACCTAGAAAGCGAAGAGAAACGGCAAGAGAGAAAGAAAGACCACATCAAAGTGAATACTTAGCGGCATGTCATGATTACACTAGCAGCATGTCATGTCATTCTTGGAAATGTTTCCAGTAGGCCCTGCGGCAAAGGAGCTGCAAAGTGGTGGAGGTGCATGCAGAACGATCAATCACTGACAAATCCCCCTTAAGGGTCCATGCTCACCGCGCCCCGAAGGGGTCACACAGCACAACACAGATCCATGCTCGCGCAAGAGCTAAATCATTTTGGAGACTCCAGTGTTATTGCAAGTAGACCTTCACATGTAATTAGACCTGGGCTGAGGGAACGGAAAGGCGAAGGAAGGTCCGCGACAACAGTATGATTTGAACAAAGACTCATTAGTGCTCTACGGGAAAAGTGGGGTGAACAGCTTGGACAACAGTTGAAACAAAGCTCAATCTTGAAATTTGTGCAGGTATGTTCAGAGAGCGTCCTCTCTGAATATCACATCCGATCAGCAGTGTCTTTGTTAGGCAGTGTCTGATGAAAGGATCACTGCCCCCCTGCGGTACTGTACAGGGTTAAAAAGTCAACTCTAGTTTAGAAGCCTGTTGTCGTTCTCCTTGGGGACAGGAGGTGGCACACACACACAAGCACTTCGGGCTGCTGCTTCCCCGTCACTGTAAGGAACACTCGTATATAGCACCACCAGCCGCAGGGAGAGACCATGGGAGACTATGGGAGACCAGACCCCCCTGACTAGTGAGGGCCTTTGATGTCATCGCAAAATTGCCGTTGCATCCATTTGGATCATTTGACATATCAACTGTCATCGCCGTGAGATGACGAATTCCGCGTCGGTTGTAGAGTTGCGACGACGAACGACGAATTCCGCAGGTGGAGTTGCTGCTGGAGTCGCGCGCGGACCCCAACCGATGCTCCGAGACGGGGCACTTCCCACTGATGCTGGCCTCGCTACTTGGCAAACTGGGTAGATTTGGAGTATTTGGAGGGCTGGGTTTTTGGGGGCCACGCGTGGAGGATGCCAAATGTCTTTTACCAGTTCAACTCTTGCTCTAAGAGCTGGGTGCTTTACCTCGGAATGTAAGGAAGACTGTGCAGGTCTGGAAGTTGATGGAAGTTGGAGATATGGAAACGGACACGGGATATGGAAATGGAAACGGTTCACTCACAGCTTTGAAATCCACGTCAGCGACTTGGCTGTTGAGAATTTTGCCGGTGTACCCCCGCCCAAACCACTTCGATGGCACCAGTGACTGGTGACGACCATATCGCCGAGGACGTAACACGCGCTGGTCATGGTGGTAAGACGGACGAAGAATCAATGGTTCTGAGGAGGGCACCACGCAAAGGCTAGCTGGTCATGAATATCCATGCTGGTCATGGTAAATTCCGGATCGTTTGATATCATTAGGCTCGTGGTAGAAGACATCGATTAAGAACGTGATTCCTATATCGCCTACCTATATGTTCGTATAGTGTTAAATGTGTTGAAATTGTTGGCGGTGGAGATCCAGTTTCAGATCCTGCACTCCAGATGCTGTTCTGAGGAGGTATGCCAGCGTGAAGTCTCTTGGTTGCAGCGAGGACTCGCACTGACAAAGCAAGGGACCAAGCAGCACTTAGTCAACAAACAGCATGACAATGTATATCGTCCAGTGTATGTTCTTTCTTTCCAACAATTCGGGTGCTCGTGCTGACCGTGCCATCAAACGGTGGGCTATGAACAGAGATGTGCCAGTACCCGGACGTCACACCTGGAGGAAAACAGATACATGAAGAAAGGAAGAAAAACTTGTCCAAGAAACAAGCAGGACATCGACCCACACGCAGTTTTGAGACACGAACTTTGGGTCGAATCCAACAGGCCGAACTTCCGTGGTTTGGCTAGGGATGTCCCCATCCTTCTGGTGTATTGAATGCATCGTTTCTCAGACCTGCGTCAGGCTCATCGCCGACAAGAAATGATGGACTTGGACATGTGACACATACAGTGTGCATGCAATATATGTAACAGATAGAGAGTGGCTCGTAGACACAAACATTTGCCCCCGTTCTCTTTTTTAATGGTTTCATTCACTTCATCTCGGCAAGTACGTCCGCACAGAAGCACCCTGGCATTTTACCCGGGCCAACCTGTATTGACCTGGCAAATCTTCTCCAAGATGACCTGCTGAAAACCAGGTTAGCCAGAAAGCTCTTGCAGGCACCACGTGTGTTTTGCGAAAAGGGCCCACAGGGCTGCAGCGGGTCGCAAAAAGGATAGGGGACACCCCGGAAGGAAAAACTAGTGAAGATTCTCCAAAAGTAAGGTGGCTGGACATAATACACTATATGCTCTTCCTCTCACGTGGCAAAGAGAAGTGTGTCTCCAACTAGATATCACCACCAAAGTCCTTTGGGATTTTTGCTCGGAGCAAGGACATGCAAGGACGGCGGAGGCCATCGCTGGTGGAGGCCATTACTACTAGTAACAAGAAGCTACTAGTTTTGTTGGACCTGGGGAGCACCTCACAGCACGACCCGAGACCGGTGGTCAGCCACCAAAGAGGTCGTACGATGGTCGATCACCTGGAGTCATACAGAAGTCCCGCGTTTAGGGGCACCGTGTCGACCTAAGGTAGGGTCTATAGGCGGACCCATCCGCCTGTCCCATCCGTATGCAAAGGCTACCCGAGGCCCTATCCCTACACCTGCCCCGAGTGCGTGACACTGGCGATCTGGCCATCGCCTCGGTCGCCAGGTGCGGGCTGAGGTGAATCAGCAGGATACGAAGCGCGTGTCCCCGCTGCACACCGCGGTGCACCAGGCGATGTCTCCTCCCTTCGGAAGCGGGCGGGACTTCGACCTTGGCGACCCGAAGGGTGCTTTTCTTGGGCCAGTACAGGTTGTACAGGTTGTACAGGTCATGTGCTAACGAGGCAAGTCAATAGATCAACATCAGACCATTTCCCATCAGAACCAACTCTCAAAATCCCCAAAGATGAGGTCTCCCACGCGACATCGGCTCCCTGCTGCACCGTCAGGATTCAGCTCAACTGGTGCAGCTCCTTTTGATGCACAAGGCCAATGCCAATGCACCGGATCAGGCAAGTTCTGGGACTCCGGACTGCGGTCGATGGACGCAGGGAAGGAAGGGGTGGTTTTGGGCCTGGAACATGGCCTGCGGCCTGGGCAGTGAGGCAAGATGACATATTGGTACATGTTATGACTCATGACCATGTACTAGCCGCCCACTCGTTTCAACATGTTTCAACTAACCTGTTGATGGGATGCAAGTTTTTGAGTATGAAGGGAGGGGTGCTGCATCATTTGGTTTGAAATGGGTGTTGTGCTCTCACTGGGTCAGGGTCTCTTGATTCGACGTGGCTTACTGTGTGTAAATGTAGTGGAAACAGCAGATGAACACCCACACGTTTGATCCTCATGATTTGACACCCCTGTATGAAGGATTATCATGAATTATCCACTGGGTTGGCTTCTTATGTTTAATTGATTTTGTTTTATACTAATTTTCAATATGTTGGTTGGTTTCCATGTGTCCACTGGGTTGGTTTCCCCCTTTATATAGTAGTTTGATGTGTTATGATTTGTTCTACACCATTCGCGACCTGTTACATTCCCCTTCCAAACCATCGCTCTGGGTTCGAGTGGTCCTGCTGGTCCCCGCATGGGCGACGGAGCTCCTTGTGGCCAGTCAACGAGCAGGAAGTATTGGCGAGTTGACAGCTGGGTTTGCTGTCGAATGTGCGTAATCAAATTAATTATCTATACTATACGCATTTGTGAGAAGGACGTGCGCTAAGGGTTAACACATTGTCAGACTGCTCCAACCCCCATGTGTTCATCGCTCGTCCAGATCGGGCAATCGCCGATCTTCTTTGCTGGCAGTCGGGAACCAAGAGACGTCCAGCGGGTTGCAACATGTTGATGTTTCTTGCTTGAAGAGATAGTGAACGATATTCGGGGACCCTGGGAATGTAGAAGTCCCATAGACAGAGAACGGTTCTTGGTTCTTAAGACATGTTTCAAGCAACTCGATTGTTTTCAGTGATGAACACATTGATAAGTAAGAGACAGTTCATGAACAGCAAGCAGGCTCTTGAGATGTATTGTACCTGTAGCAAGTTTTTCAATAGACCTCCCCCCAAAATAAACAATACGTATGTGAACCTTACCTTACTGCATATGACTTCATTCTGTAGATTGTTGGCTCACGCTGAAACCTGGTGTTCTTTTGGTCAATCGGTTGACGCTTCCTCCTACGAAACTGTTTGACTTCCTCCCAGATTACTGTAAGATTCTTGATTCTTGAATCAAAGGTGAAGCTCTTTGGCTCCTCAAGTGTGTCGGGAAACTTGCATGGTTTTGTTTTGAATAGGAAACTTTCCGACAAGCTTGTTCTATGGTATTGCTATATATACACATAGTATTGCTCTGGGTCTAGGCCATCACCACCAGTTGGCATGATATTATATGCAAGAGATGAGTTCAAAATGCTGCATTGATTCGCAGGATTGGAAGATATTGGAAGGTTACCAGCACATACAGTTGGCATAGTGCCATGGTATAGAAGCTTCAAGAAAAAAGTGTAACGCACACCCATACAAATCACACATCACACACTGCACTGCTATGGGTATTGTTATATTGGGTATTTGTATTTGTATGAGCATCCGACAAAATTATCGCAAGATGACATATGTAAAGGGCTGCGGGCTGCGTTGTGCTTACGAGGTGTGAAGAACACCTTCATAACCGATAGAGGAGGACCTAGCACCGATACCCGATACCCCCATGCAACATAAGAATGATTTAGTGATTGTTGGTTAAGGCTCAGGAATAGCTTGTTGCGCACTGTAGTTTGATGGTTGCTGATGGGAATCCAGGGTGCCCTTCAATAAGAGCATAGTTCTGAATCACAGGGAGTTATATAGTAAGGCTTGTCACGCCATTGTCCATTCATGAATGAGACACAATTGGGGATATGTTTTGTGGATGTATTATGTGGGGGGATATAGGTATATATAATTAATTGTATATATTATTGTGTTTATGTATAAATGTATACTTTTTTCTTGGGGGGTTCAGGATGGGACTGGCATTCTCATTGTAAGGTTTCCTCACCTGTTTGCTGCGTGTTTGGATCCAGGGTTCTCTTAGTTTTCTGGTCTCCTTGCATGTGTGGGGTGCCGCTGTCACATATATTACATATACTGTATGTATACATACACTGAATATACTATGTATATATATATATGTATGTATTTACAGTAGGTAGCTGAAGCTGGCCTCATCTTACACTGTCTTTGGGGAGAAGGAAGTCGTTTGACATTGAATTTGGTCTGGCGGAATTGGAATTCGTATGTGCAGGAAACAGGTTACCTTGAAATGGCGGGTTCGACCATTCTGCTTCCTCGGCACTCGCTTTTCAATACTTTTCACCCCCCGTGCCTGGATTGGAAGTCAACGGGCTGATGCTGAGGCAAGGAGGATGTCAGCCAGATGTTCAAGATTTCTTCTACATAAAGTAATCTGCGGTATGGACATGTCACGTATCACGAAAACGGCTCGCTTGGCGGCTTCCGCGTCCCTTAGGCACTACAGTGATCGCTGCGCTGACGGATGCCAAAGCGGATCTGCATCACTTGAACAAGAAAGGCCGGGCGAAAGATAGTCCGCGTCAAGAGGGGTGAAGAGGTGGGGAGGACTGGCACGATCTCTGTTGCACATTGTTGCACATTGGTCGTTGACACCTCTGAAATAATATCAGCCAATATATCAGCTACTAGGAACAAGTGCATCGCTACTAGTAACAAGTGCCTTACTAGTAGTAACAAGAAGCTAGTTGAAACAATAAATAGAATCTAAGTAGAATTAAGTGTAATTAGCTACTAGGAACAAGTGCATCGCTACTAGGAGCAAGGGCCTTACTACTAGGAACAAGAAGCTATTAGAAACAATTAGAATTAAGTGTATCAGCCTTGCTTGATGAGTTTGCCTTGCTTGATGAGTTCCTTTGAACTCCTTTCAGTTCCCTGAGTTCCGCCGCTAGATCCGCTGCCGGGAAGACGTCGCTAGATCCGTAGCATCGCGATAGAAGACGTCTTCTCGCTGACCAACAGATACGTCGTAAGAGTAGCATCGCTGCTTCTGTTACTAGCTTTTCTCCCCTTGCCGGATTTGCACCAATCGCGAGACTGGAACCCATAGACCCTCAGAGACCCATGATTCAACTAAAGGATAGGCTTTTCAATTTATCAAAGAATGAGACATTCTACAAGGTGGTGTATTCGACGTTGTTGATTGTGTGATTGTGCCGAAGGGCAGAATTGAGATCCAATTGACATTCAGATGAGTGCACCCTTTGTCCAACGAAATGGAGCAAGCTCAGTTTGCAGAGTTCATAGATGTTCATAGTCTTCCACAGGGGGGCCACGTTCCACGTTCATTTGGAACTACACCGCACTCCTCCGTTGCACGGAGTTGGCCATGATGGTTCAGGCATGTGAGCAACCGCCAAAACGTGCGATGATTAATTTTGTACTGAGCGGTTGTGAATTCCAGGCATTTGGCTAAAACCGCAAAAGCGGTAAGGCACCCGTTCAGTGCAATACCGATAATCCTGCTGAATGATCTCTACTTGACAGTTCGTTCTGGCAGACCCTCAGTGAACTAACTTCTCGCTTTGACAGTCTGGCCTGGAAGGAGAGTTTGACTGGCTTCCACGATGGACTTCACAGGAAAAGCACATCACAGAAGGCATACAACAACCTAGTCACCCCATGGACCGCTCTGTGTGGGTTGCCTTTTGGTCATGGTCTGATGGACACATGTTGCGAAAGGATACGTCACCACTTCCAAAGCCTTAAAGCATAAACCTTTAAAACTGGCGGTAGCTGGGACTGAACAGGGTTTAGAATTGCTCATGCCGAATCATTTCCAGCCAAGCTGAAGCAATGAGTCGGCTAAGGACGGCTAAGGACATCCAATGGAGAGGCTCCTTTGAACTTTGGTGACCATCCTCCCTGGCACACACCTCTCCGCACAAGGACTGCAGAGCACTGCAGGGTCATTCATTTCAAGCTCCCTAGCCACGTCACTTCACTCAGGTCAGAGCGCCTTGCACCTCGCCGCGCACAACGGGCGCTTCGAGGCGACAGCGGCGTCGATGGGGTCCGAGCCGGCCAAAACACAATCAAGATCAATCAAGCATGTAGGCTCAAGGCCCTCGTAGCCCCATGCTGTAGGCATGTAGGATCATGTAGGTATGAAACAGCATGCAGACATGTGTTGGCCTAACCATTGGATGGGCCCACCAAAATCAATTCGTGGAAGTTCTTCTCCGGATGTTCCGTCTTCCTCCAAACCCTGCGAAACAAGGGAACAAACAACAAACAACACTATCGACACCTTTGAGGAAACCGAATGATAGAGGTATAGTGTCTATTGTCTATAATACGTTTCTTGGGATAGGGAAACAACCATATGCCTCAACTCCTGTATTATGGGATGTGATGTTGGTCGGCATTGGCACGCGCGGATGACCCAAAACCGGATAGACCCTGAAGACTCGGGTGTTTTCCACGGCCTTTTTTGCATTTGCGACCACATGCTTGAGCGAGGCGGTGGCCTATTTGACCGACCATGAGTTCCTCGATGAGTCGGTGGACCTGCAGGTGGATCCGCTTGAAGAACAGAGCGGATGGGAGCCGTGTTCGTGGGTGCCTACAAGAAGAAGCTCCTGCATCCCAGATGTTTGACAAGCTGATGCCGCCCACCCATAGGTGTGGGCACAGGCTTCCGGTGTCTTCGGTCCGTTGGCCCCAAGACTCAACCATTCAGAACCTCGAATCAAAACAAAAAAATGCCTTTTCCAGGCCTTTCTCTCCCTATCCCGTGTCTCGATCCCAAACACAACGAGCCGAGGGTCCCCATCGCAGGACGAACGCGGCCGTAGCCCTTTGCATCTGGCGGCGGCACAAGGACACCAGCAGGGGATGCTCAGAGAAGCGAAGTTGGGTTCTTCAGCGTTTCCAACAGTCCTTGAAACAGTCCAGCCGAGCCTTCTTTTACGGCAAGCGAGGTCTGAGGACCTCCTTTTTGAGTCCAAAAGTCCTAGCGAGGTCTGGATGACTTGAACCATTTCGGATCCCGGTGAAAAGAGTCCTTTTTCGCATGGATTTGGCTGGCCGCGCTCTTCCATCGCGTGGGATGTTGTATGATTCCATGAGCCTCAGCCCTCAGCGATCCTTAAAGATATCTGAATGGTTTTGAACTGGCTCTTCTTGAGTAGGGAGAGTCTCTCCACCAGGACGTGGTCGTTTTGATGAAACCATCGCTTCTGGAAGATACTCCCGGGGAACATTCGAACTGAGCGATCCTTCGGTTCCCCTGGGATTCCAATCAGGATGTGCTCTCAGAACACAAGAGCACATCATAGCACATTACATGGCTTTTTTTCACTCATCATTGCTTTGGGACGGAGGCTATTGATCCTTATCCCACTTAATGTCCAGGACTTCATTGATGTACATTGCATTCAAAGTACCCACAAAAGATTATGCAATGATTCGACCGGACAGCGTGAGGTTTTCTGTCAGCCACCCTGGGCAGAAAGAGAAAGACCACTTGTGTTTGGCGTATGGATTGTGAGGCTCGCAGCGGGCCACTCAGTACTGTACTCACCAGGTAAACCATAATGTATACATTCCATTTTCCCAGATTGAAGCACTTCTGTGGCGGGGGCAGCAGTTTCCAGCAATTCTATCAGGGAGGCAACAGCACTAAACTCTTTTTTTTTCCAGATTGAGAGACGGAAGACATGTCTGCTTCGCCCGAGAAAGATGCACTCAGCAGTCACGAAAACTCCAAATCTGAAGAAGTGCTCAGTGCATCTCAGTGCTCAAATCAAAGCAACTCGGGCAACCAGGCTGGTGCCTCAAGAAATGCTTTCCGCCACTTTGAATTTGCGGCCAAGTTGCGGGTGGCCACCAAACCTGAAGCAGGCACCAATCCAGTTTTCCTCATTGGGCCACATCGAGTGTTCTCACTCGTCCTCATATCGGGCTCCAATGAGGAACCAAGAGAGGTTGAACAGCCCTAAGGTCCCCCATCCCATATGTACCACAGACCAGGGTCCTAGTTCAGGTCTTTCAACCTCTGTTCCTTCCCACCTTGCCAGATCGATCCGGTGAAAAATCTTCCGTCGTCCGTCCGTCCGCTACGCACGCGTGCCGCGGAGCGCGTGCCGAGGCGTGTGGTCTCCCGCCTCATGGACGTGGGTGCCAACCCCAGGTGCGCCGAGCTGGCGGGGGGCTGAAAGAGGTGGACGGGTGACGCAGCCCCTCGTTGGGCCGGTGGGTTCTCAGCGGGTCTCAGCGTCCGTCTTTGGGCCGTAATGTCTTGATCAGCAGGGAGTTGTCAGGACCTCGCATCAAATCTGACTCCGAGCCTTCCTGGTTCACATGGTTTCACACAACGCATAGAGCGAAAGGACTCCACAGAGGTCTCTCCTCCCACGCTACTTGGCTTCACGCGACTTGGCTACCCCAATCTCGCTTCCCAGGGTCGGCTCTGAAGACCCAGGGAGCCATGTACCCAAATGCTGAACAGACTCAGAGCGTCACAGACCTGCTAGGCCTTGGAGATGTTAAGATTGACTTCTCCAAGCATAAGTCAAGAAGTATAGATCCTGAGAGTTTGCAATCCTGGGGCGGCCGCAAGTTCTCGCAAGATCAGTTGCAAAGGTTGGCATCCATTTGCTTCCCGGTGTTCGTTTCTCTGTTGTTTTGACCTGCTGTTTTGGAGAGTCCCCCCACCCATTGCGACCACAAATAGGTGATTCTATTTGATCAGAGTTAAAGGGAGTGCCGGGAGTGTGAGTTATTCAGCATTCATAGATTCATAACTGTCATAACTAATGATTTAAGAATTTGAGGATTCACAGTCCGAACACCCCATGACCCCGGCAGGACTTGAAGGGTAAGTTACAAAGGTCCTCAAAGGTCTTTTGAGCCACAGGTCTGTGCGATGGTAAGTCAGTTGGCACAACTGGAAGGATGGCGAGGATGGTCCGGGATGGCTATTTGACGCTGCCACGAAATCCCGGCTGCGGATATTTCTCGAATATCAGGCCGGTCTGGAACCCGGCTCCGGACGGACTGGAGCAAGCTTTTTGTTTGCCTTCTTTCTTGGGACGTGCACCAGTCGTACTCGAAGACCTGGTCCAGTCGGCTGCAGGATTGCGTGATGACGGCTTTTGGTCTGAATACCGCCAAGAATTGATTTCCTCGTGGAGCCATGCCATGTCATCGTTTCGAGGCCATGCCATCCACGTTGGCCCATGATTCTTCAGGGAGTGTATGTATATATTATATATATACGACATGTTTCGCAAGTAGGTTGGAGGCCATTGCGCAAGTAGTTAGAAGAGAAAAAGGAGGATCAGGAGAAGGATGGCGCCATTGGTCGCCAACAAGGTCAACCATTTCTGGCGGCATTTGGCCGGTCCACTGACTGCGTGGGCCAGTCGGCGAGACGCCTTGGCAGAGCCAACAGCTTGTCCACCTCGTGTGGCCGTTTGAAGAGAGATGAATTAGCAAGAGGAGGCAGGCCGATTGAATCTGGTCTTTTTATATCATATCTTGGAAGTTCTCACGGAAGAGAACGATGCAACAGTGTTCGCACAGCAGGTCGACCTGCAGGAGGTGTTTGCGAAACGTTGCTCAAGTGGAGAGCGACTTGTGTCTCAGATGCCTTAAGGGTCCGTGTGTTCCTATAGAATCACAAGTGGGCACAACAACTCCAATGGTGCAAGCAGTGCAGGCCCTGCTCTGTTTGCCAATTGGAGACAACATGCAGGCCCTACTTGGTTGAAACATCATAGCTTGAGCCTAACAGGAGCTGTTTGTACAATCCCATTGGATCATATTGGGATATATATATATATGGATACATTATATTGGGCGATGGTTTGTCATGTTTTGTTTGGAATGGATTGAAGCCCACGATATGGGACCAACCCAATCCACCAAATCGGTTTTGCATCAATTCGCATCACCAAAGAGAACAACCTTGGAACATCTTGATTCCAGACAACTAAGTGTACAGTGGGCATGGGCCTTTCCTTCACAGGACTGCTGAACAGTCCTTCTCCAGATACAGAAGTGCCCTGCTAAGGTGGTCACTATGACCCTTGGAGACCCACTAACATGGAAGTGGAACATGGATGGAAGCTGGTCCCTTGGAGGACTACTTTGCAAACCAGAAGACCTTTCCACCAAATCAGGGGACGTTCTTCGGAGTGTCCGGGGCGGTCAGGTCGCCGTCAGGTCGCCGCGCCGGCGCGAAGAGGGTCCGATGTTCGATGCGCCAGGCTCAAGATGCACAACGGGCAGACTCCGATGACCCTCGCGGACAAGAAGGACACGGTGGCTGCACGTTTCTGTTCGTTATGGACACGCCGTTTATATCTACTGTACTTATAGGACACGCCGTGGTGTGTGTGGACACTGCGTTAACCTATTATTTGCTGTTGCCATCTTCTTGCTTCATTCACATTCCGCTTGACATACGAGAGTTCTCATTTCTTCCACCGAAACAAACCAAACGAACGGACCATGCCATGGGGTGCCATGGGGTGCCATCCGCATGCAGCGGCCCGGAACGACGGAACAACGGGCGGGCAGCTGCACAAAAGGGATGAGATGATGGAGCACAAAGAGTCCAAAGGACAGATGATGGATGAATAATGGACAAGTAATGATAAAAAACATGAACACAGAAGACGATGAAGATCGATGAAGACGTAAGTGTCGATATGGTCGATGTGGGTTTCAAGTTTCAAGTTGCGCCTCGAGCGGCTGGCGGCTTCCAGTCTCTTCCGGTCACATGCGAACAATCGTGCTGAGATGTGAGGCTTTATCGGTGTCTCGCAGGGGTTGGATTTCAACCCGTGGTCGGTTTGGACACTTCGAGTCAGATGTTGGGAATTCGTGACATGTTGACTGAGTTTTTGGGTCTCAAACTGGTTTTCGAAAAGCGAGCCGTCTAACGGGCGGGGCGGAGCGTCTCTGACCTCTCAGTACCGGCGTTGCACGTCCAGGCCGGTCACGTCCAGACCGAAGGCGTTGTCACTAAGCAGGCTGTTAATCCCCACCCCCTTACAGCAGGCTGTTAACCCCCCTTAATTGGTAGGCTTAGGGATGGCTGTTACTCCTTTCCATCTCAAACATATGTTTTGAGAGAGACATATCCGTTGGACAGCAGAGAGTGATTCAGTGATCTGCGGACTGGCAAGAAATGATAAGAAATGTATAGTTTGAAGGACGAACTCCACCCAGTAAGATAGGGATAACTAAATCATGCCAAATCTACATATATAACAATGATATACCATGACTATAGCATACTATAGCTGTCTCCATCCTGTCTGCTCATTCCGGCTGAACACAACAGCTTGGGGGCAAACATCAGTGCGATGTGCGGGCCACATTTTTACGGATTTCGGTGGTTCCAGACACCTGCGATTGGGAATACTGTTGCCATTGTATGTTTTGTTGGGGTGGAGGTGGCGCATGCCGATGGCACAGGATGTCCTCTATGAACAGTCAATGGTCACTGTTACAGTCGTCACAGTGCAAGGAGATTAGGATAACATCAAGCGAATTGATTTGCCCTGTTCACCGGGTTCCGTTTGTAAAGAGGATCACTCTTTTTGGCAAGGCCTTGGTGAACTTCTAAACCACCGATCATCATTCGCTGTTGCAGCGATTTGAATGGACCCAACATTTGACATGGATGTGGCCAAAAACATAAGGCCTCAAACCCACAAGAGTTTTACTCATTTTAGTCCACGTTTCCTCTTAGCAGTGCTTGACTGGCGGCATGCGTCCAAGTCAGAGCGGCAGGACACCGACTTGGCCCTGTACATCTACACGCGGATGCACCGCGGTCGGCAAAAACGGGGGTGAATTCGGATATCGGATATCCATCGACGATGTGCCGGTGCGCTGCCGTGCCGGCGTGCCGCATCGACGATGTGGGTTTCCAACGACCGCCTTCCTCGGCTCAACTGGCTTGGACCATTGGACCTCCAACCCAATAGCCCTCCAACCTACTAGCGATGGCCTACAACCTAGAAGCGATGGCCTCCAACCTACTAGCAAAGAAGTCTGAAGAAGGAGATGAAATGATTCCATCTCTGAAACCTCTATACTGAGTGATGCTTGTTTGTGGTACAACAATTTCCATGCCGAAGTGAACCATTCAGTAAGTTCACAACAAAAACTGGTCCAAATGGCAACACATGATGCCCTTCTTACTTATCCAGATCGATTGGGGTTGTTGTGCTTTGCTGTGATTCTTCAAGACCCTCAACAGACCGAAGCTTCCCTTCCTCATTTTCTTCTCTTGACAAAGCTTCTGAATCACGTGGACCTTCTCTCGTGGACCGGAAGCTCGCTTCCCTGCCTAAGGACCGGAGGTAAGCATGCCACATGGTCAGAGACCATGCAGAATCCCATGTTTCTCACCTTGCCCGGGACACTCAATGACGTCAAGGGTCCGCGCTTACTTCCGGTGGGGGGGGATGAGGTGACTGCAGATCAGGGTCATAGGTGGCTGAAGCCGGGTGTCCTAAATTCGAAGACACCACAAGAAACAACTGGTATGAAAGATGGCTAAACCCCTCCTAGTAGAATAAGGTTTCTATATTTATAAGCGGGGCATCAGAAGGTCGGGATTTGTTTTAAATTTGGGGGTCAATCAGGAGAGATCACCAAGACTAAATCTCTTCATATCTCTTCATGAGGAGGGATCCCAAAGACTTGAATCTCCTCTACTGGGTTGACAGCACGTGTTGTTGCAGGTACCGAACCGGTGAGCGCTTGGGTGGAAAGACCAAGCTTTGGAGCAACCGATAACAGGATGGAAGCAACTTGGGGTTTGATGGGTGAAAGTCACCAATGAAATCCCGCCTTTGCCAGGCGTGTGAGGCTAGTCCACCTCTGATTTATCACTAGGCCCCCCGAAGTGACCTCAAATAGACTTAAGTACTGTTTTAAGTACTGGTAGTATTACCAAGAAAAAAGAAATCGAGGAATTCATATATACATATAAATACACAGAAACAAGGAATATCTAGGTCCAGTGGCCAAAACATTTAGCTCTATTTAGGGCGTATATATCCTTTTGCTTTGGGATTTGCTTAGCTTTATTCAGGGTGAGTTGATAAATCATAGGTTGACAGTCGACATTACACAGGCCATTGCAATGTGGGCGGCCCAACATGAACCCTTCAAACGCCACAAGGCTTTCAAAACTGGTGGGTCAGATGGACTAGGCTTGCTCGGGGTAGGCAGATGGGAGTCGTGGACCTCCTGACTCATGGACCTCCTACAGAGCAATATTTGTGCATGAATGAAGGAAACATGTCAGAGTTAGATGGACCATTTGTTGATGTCCACTGCTTCGTGCCGAGGGCCGCAGTCTTGGGTGTGGCTTGCTTTGTCAACCGGTGGCCCAGCTTGAAACACAGAGTCGGACCTGCGGCGTTCAGAACACGAAAGCAAAAGTGGTCGACGTCCACATGTCCCGTTGTTATTTATGACCCATGTGTTAGAACCTGCTTGAGGTTCATGGATATCCACAGCTGGCAGGGTTGAAACCTTACAGTTTCAAGAACTATGATACGGCACCTCACTCACCTGAAGTGGACAACAGATCGAACAACCTCAAAGAGGCAATGTCAAGTTGTCAATGTGTAGTAAGAACATTCAAGAAAAACATGGTCGGGTTTCATTTGCTGCATTCGTTTCATTTGCTGAATTTTTTGGTGTTGGCATTGTTTTGAGCTGAGGATGGTGATCTTTGACCTGGTTTGGGATCTCATTGCCTTGCGCTTCAACTGATTTCATGCAAGGGAAGCTTTTTTTGGATGGTCATGTAATTCACAAAATCTGAAAAACACCAGACCACAGTTTGTTCTCCATCCACCAGTGCAAAGGATGAAGATTATGCTTAGCAGCAAATGCAAACTACCATCAACTGACATTTGTCTCAAGTGCATCCTTGGATGACGCTTGCGACAAATTTCTGGGTTTGGAAAGACATATATTGTTCTGGTCATACAGACAAGATCAACCAAACATGTTGACGGGGTTGGGATCGCCAAGAGTGAATGAAGTCCAACGTTGTACCGCAAGGGATCACCAGGCAGAACACCCTGTCAAGGGTTTATCCACCAATGCTTTTGTGACAGGAAACGTTTTGAAGAGATCAGAGCAGTTCGGAACTCAAAAGACGCCGCTGTGGAACCATCTTCAATCTCCGTTGTCCACAACTCGAGGGAAATCGTCCAATTGTCAATTTAGGTCTATGGTATCTTGAACGATGGAGGTCAAGAGTCTCTGACCAAAAGAAGCTTCCCGGTTTGGAAGATTGACCATAGTGTCCGCAAGCTTGATAGTCGCGATAGCAAATTGGCATTCAGGAACGGCCTGTTGTAGTTTGCCAAAGCTGACTACAGATACAGAAGTGGAGTCCTGGAGAGGGATGTTGGTGTTTAGATTCATGGTTTCTGCGTAGTGTTTGGGCATGTAAGTATCTTCCGTCCAAAACAACAGCTATAGAATGCTATAGATGTCACCAGATCGATCGAACAGCTGAGACGTGGCCTGGTCAACCTTCTGTGAACCCCTCAACGCTCCAGTTGGAGGCTCAACTCGTTGAGAGCTGCCAAACGCAGCGAGAGAACGTCGCGCCCGGACACCGCGCGAAAAAAGTCAACCACTCCGTGGACTGGGCGAGTGATGAGGAATCTTGGGGGATTCTTTGATGGCAGCGTTGCCCATTGAACACATTTGAACACCAAGTTCTTCCGGGGATGAAACAAGGAGCATGCAGGAGCGTCCGCACCATGCATCAGCTGACCACTGAGGACGGATTGCACATTTCCTGTGCCGGGATGAGGCCCTCCTTGACAATCCGCTTCCAGCATGCAGGCCTTGTGCGGTGGTAGGCGAACTCACCCTATAGTTATTCATATATTGCTCATCTCCACCATCCCATCCTCGGCCACATCCAGTTTCAGTGGTGCAGAAATCTATGACTGTATATAACCCACCAAAGAAGTGGAGAACCTCCAATGTTCTTGGCACGCTTGGGTTCTTAAAAGAACCACATGTTTTTTTGCAGTATTCTACCAGCATAGATGGATCTCAGTCGACTCCTGGGCAGTTTGTCTTGCGCCCGTTGGACCACTTGACCTGCACCAAAAGGCACGTCAGCCGAAGCCAGCATGTCCTGAAAGCGGCTCGTTAGCCTTCCAAGCACCGCTTCAAGTCCGAGGTGCAATTATTGAAAAAGAACGTTGCTAGGTGGTGGTTTCCGATATGTTTATTGGATAATTGAACTCACTGACCAATACTGTATCAATATGTTTCAAGTGAGATGAACTGGTGAAACCACCAACCAGATTGGCAATTTGCTTGGCATCTGCCTTGATGTGCACAGAGAGTTGGAAGATATTCGTGGGCCATGGGATGCCATGGGACATGGGATACCATGGGACATGGGATACCATGGGACATGGGATACCAATGGCATGATTGCAGATGTTCTAGCCGAATCGAACGTGTAGCAAACTCGGACAAACAGAGAGAGAGACCTGAGGACCGACGTTTTGACATTTGCAGATGCAGGCAGATGCAGAATCAGGAAGGATGATCATCAAAAAACCCAGGCGTCCCTTTCCCTGGCGCGACCGCCACTGTTGCTAGCAAAGCAGCCCTAGAAAGACTTTAAGCAAGAGTTTCCTCTACCTAATCATACAACAATCTTTCGCAAATCAGCATGACTGATTCCAACCACCTCGGCGATTTTCCACCCGGGTTACGCCCGGATCCGCTTCTTCAGCATGGTGATGATGGATGATGACGGTGGGGACCGTGCCGGAAAGGGGCCAGTGGTGTCCATGTGCCATGGGAAAGACCTGTGCGGTCGGAGGGCGGCAGGTCACCCTCAAGCACTGTCATGGCCGTTTTCCGTGTGGCCAATAGGTTCTGAAGAGGAAGACCATAGACCCCCAAAATATCGAAGGCCAGGTTCCGCAGCATTTGGGATCCATGGGCACTTTGCTTCGAACACTGACCACCAAGGCTCCTGGCGTGACCCACTTCTGATAGCCTGGAAATCACATGTGCTTCCCTGCTTGCAAGTCATTTGCACAACCCAGTGATTTTTTCTCCAAGATCTCAAATCGCAATCAACTTCACCCACCATCTACATCCATCTCCCATATTCTCTGTTCACTCTCTACCTCTGCCCCCTTTCCAGACCCACCCCCCACCCGAAAAGCACCCGAAAGGCCACAAAGAAGGGTCACGGCTCGCTTCCTCGCTTCCTCCACCCTGGTGGCGTCGTTCCAGGCGGTGGCGCCACCGTGGTGGGCGCCGTGATGGACGACATGGAGGACATCGACCTCCACAGCCGCTCGCTCGTGGACGAGTCTCAGCGGTTGGAGCGGGTTTTCAGACGGGGTGTGACAGATGACAGGCGCAGGGGGCTTGTTCTCCATGAGTCCAACGTGTTTTCTTTTTGCCATTGGGGACCAGAGTTCTGAACTAATTTCAAGCTGGTCCCAGCCTTGCAAAGGCCGTGACATCCGTGAGTGTGACCCGGTATCAATGATCTACCTCTTTGTTTTTGGACAGTGATGGAACCTTTCATGAATGAATGACTGTTTGAAGCATGGTGCTTTACCAAAGGTAATCTGACTAACAAGGCTGGAGAACGTATTCGTCGCAAGGACCAGCTCTGGTATGACAACAAACAGGTTTTGATGTTCCAGGATGGGCACTTGATACCCACCTTGATGTGGTTTGGGCATAGTTGTTTCCATCGCTGTTTGGGAATGTGGACACGGTGTAAATGACCAACCAGCAACCCTTTTGCACCAATGCCACCAGCATATCATATCCTATTGTAGATAGCTATGATGCCTCGATAATTTGTAGACCATGTATTTAGCCCTTCACAGACCCAGAATCCTCTTGTATCGATCTGTTTGAGTTCCATTCATGCCAAGACTTGCAGGCCACTCAACCATACTCAACCATTCCACCCAGGAGCCTCCACTGTGGACTAGACACACTTACTTACTTTACTACCGTTACTATCCACAGGTGCTGTCGTCCCGTGTCTTCCGTGAAAACACACCGTGTACTCCGCTCATCCCAGGCCTCGATGATGAGACGCAACGCTGCCCGGCCTTCTCTCGACGCGAAAAACTGTTTCACCACCGGTGAGGCCCGAGCGGCTGCCCGTTGGATGCTTCCACACCGGAAAACAACCGGAATCAACACCACATCGGTATAGCGGAGTCCATGGGATGGGGTGGACCATTCGGACCTTTTGGGCAAAGGAGGCTCTAGGGGATTCACCGGTCGGTCTTGTGGGAGGCAAGCTGAGGACCGGCGGGATGCCGGTCGTCACCGGCTGGGGAGCAAGGCTTTGATTGAAGTGGTTCATCTCAAGATCCGGAAGTTCATGGCTGGTAGGAATTGGTTTGGATTTCAATTTCAGTCTTGAACTAACATCTGAATATACAATTATAGTTCCATGTATCGCGGTGGGTGATTTTGGGAAACAGCCTTGCAGACCAGGAGGTTTAGACTTGGAACATCAACTGTACTTGAGCATCATAGTCCAAAGGCTTCATGTTTTCATGACCCATACGTGTCGTTCGAGAATCATCAAGAATGACCCCGCCCCACCCCCGAAGCCATCCGAAACCACCACCTTGAGCCGGACCCCCAGAAAGAATGCCAGCCGTGATGCCAAGGCTTCATCCTAGAGACGCACCTGGTCGCTTGCTGGCCTGTTTGAGCTTCCTGCATCGCGGGCACACGGGCCGGACACGCCGTACGTCGTGCTCCTTGTCCCAGGGGAGGGATGAGGAGAATTCATCAATCTGAGGGATGGAGGGGTCGAAATGGTGCCAATTTGGTTGGACCACGAGTGACACTAGTGTTTAGGCCTGGGCAAGACCAGTGGGCGGGTGTCTTGCGTATACGAGTTTTTTTTTTTCCCTGGACAGCGAAGCGACTGAAGCAGCAACTAGCAATCCGCCTGCCTGTACACACCCATCTTTTGGTCTGAAAAATGCTTAATCCAGGCTCCGACTCTTTTGCCTTTGTGATCTCGACCAAAAGCGAGCAGTTTCTGTTGGTCTTTGGAGCAACTGTTGCATCATGAGTGAGTACGGCTTCTTTAAAGAATTTTGAAGTAGTGTTTAAAATGTTTAAACCTGTTTTAACTGGTGCTGTTTTGATCCGGCTCAGTGTCGGTGTGTCTCCGCTAAGACCCCTGTGAGGACGCGCCCCCGTCCGGCCCAATCGGGTTGGGATCGGGTGCAACGGCCACACGGGGTGCAACAGCCAGGAGAACATCGGTTTCATGGACTTCTTGGGTTTTGAATTAGCCAGCCTCTCCTCTCAGCCGCTCAGCTTGAAAAGAAAGGCTACTTTGGATGTGGGTTCGTTGAAGAACAACCAGCAGGGTACCAATGTAGACCGTTGATATTAAACCCCTCCATCTGGATGGTAAACCATTTCCATATGGAGGGGGGGTATATATGAATCAACCGCCTATATTTAAATTACGTTTGGAGGACCAACACCGTTTTGGTTTTGAGGAAGAGCGTTGGTCATCTATTGCTGTGCGGCAAACGTTCTTTGGCATGTAGAAGTTGTTACTGCAGCCTGATCGTGCAAATTATAGTCGATATACATTAACTTACTAAGCTCGCGGAAAGTCGTACTACTACTACTACTACCACGACGACTACTACAACAACAGCTACTACTACTACTACTACTACTACTACTACTACTAGTACTACTACTTCTACTACCGCTACTACTGCTACTACTACTGCTACCACTACTACTACTACTACCACTACTACTACTCCTCCTGCTACTGCTACTGCTACTGCTACTGCTACTGCTACTGCTACTGCTACTCCTCCTACTACTACTACTACTACCCCTGCTACTGCTACTACTACTGCTACTGCTGCTGCTACTACTACTACTACTACTACTCTTACTACTACTACTACTACTCCTCCTCCTGCTACTGCTCCTACTACTGCTCCTACTCCTACTCCTACTCCTACTACTACTACTACTACTGCTACTACTACTACTACTACTACTACTACCCCTGCTACTGCTACTACTACTGCTACTGCTGCTGCTACTACTACTCTTACTACTACTACTACTACTACTACTACTACTACTAGTACTACTACTACTACTAGTACTACCACTACCACTACTACTACTACTACTACTACTACTACTACTACTACTACTACTACTACTACTACTACTAGACAATACGAGTAGTAGACAGACGCGTGTCGTTCTTCAATGCTTGCTCAGAAAATGAGTGCGCATGTTGGCATGTGGGGTGATGCCGACAGAGGACATGCCAACTCTTGGACTGTCCGCCCTATTCATTCTAAATTCCAACTCTTCGGCGTGGCCAATTTC